ACCAGCAAGTGACCATACCACGACGACCAGGACGACGATACGAACAGATCGCCGTCGAGAACGCCACCGCACGCGCCCACACGCGCCGCCAGGAGTTCGCTGCTGCTGGGAGTCACTCGCGCGCGTGAGAGCGCGTGGAAGCTCCGATTTCTGATCGGTCAACGCCGTTGACTTCGCCGTGACGTCAGCTTTCTGGATTGGTCAAGTTTGTTCGATTCCGAGAAGATTTGATTTGCGGTCAACTGTTCGGGCCAGCCAGATCTACATAAATTTTAAGCAGTAAGTTTTCTTCATCAAACCTTTAGATCAGCTGCGCATAGGTTTATGTTGAATGTTTGTCCGTGATTTGTGCATATCGAGATCCTCATGGGTTCCAACAGGGTGTTGTACTAGTATAAATGAATGTTAAACATTATAAAAATTGACATATCGATTCAAGTATGTACACATTGTTAGGGCTCGATTAAGAACATCAAAAGTACGCAAGTCCAGATTATCTACGAAATAACTCTGAGCGCAGCGGATCTAGTGATTAGGGTTGAACGCGTACGATGTAAAAGTTTCCCAGATTGTATATAGACATACACTGGCTATGGGGCCGGACCAACGGTTCTGTGACGATCTTATTACCTCGTTGTCCTCTTCACCTTTGGTCGTGTGTTGCACCGTCACTCTTCCCATCATGATCACCTCGTTGCGCTTCCCAGTGTCCGAGTCGCATCTTGTATTGCCTAGGCCTCGTTGGGGTTGCGCATCTGCTGCACCACGCGCGACACGCACACAGCCAGCCTGTCACCCGACAATGTCGAGCAGCTGGTGCGCCCATCGCCTGCCTGCCAACAGGTCGTCGGGGATGTTGTACCATGGGCATGATTCTCGTAAGCGTAATGTGATACCTGTTGGAAACCTGCACGTCGCGCAGTGCGCGGAGCATGCTCACGTTATTGTGACATGCGAGACCGCTCGTCTACGTCCAGGTTGTGCACGTCTGTGGGGACTCTGGCCAACCTTTCGCAGGTTGCGCCAAGCTAGTGGCTGCAGCCAGCACCTATACGCAGTTGCAACTTGCAACCAGTCTGCCCCTGGCTGCCAGTCTGCCATGGCTGGTTGCTGTCGGATGTTGTGCGGCTTCTCGCCAGTGAATAGATGATATAAACATAGTAATATTGGGTGAATAGAAGTTTTACACATATTATGACGTTAAAAAATAAGTTTACTTTCTTCCTAGACAGTGTACAATGTAGTTTTCTTGAGGACAAGCAAAATGCTAAGTGTGAGAGAATCTTTGTGTAAGATTTTGTTAGTATTTTTGTGTGATTATATGTCTTGTTTTTAAATTTATTTGAGTTAGTTTTATACTTTTTCTCACTCCATTAGGTTGATTTGCTTGTTTATGTGTTTTTGTGTTATTTGCGTGTTTAATGCATTTTTAGTCTACTTTATGTGTTTGTAGGGAAATGTTGCTCGAATATTTGTTTTGCCGAGAACTATCGCCAGAATAGGGCTCAAAATTATCTGGAGTAAACCTCAAGCATCAAGTGAAGTCCGTGTAAAAACAAAAAACTGGAAATTGAATCAAAAGCTATCATATACAAGTTCTTTCATCGAATTTGTAATTCTTTCATAATTGCCTGTGTGATTGGATATAAATTTGTCTAGTAAAAAATCAACCAAAACTTAAATTTAACACAACTTTAACTCAATCATATTATCCTCAATTTTATTAATATACTTATATTCAAACCACTCATATAATTTTAATTAATCATCACTTCTATCATCTCTCTCCTACTTTTACATCAAATCAACTTTAATTATTTTAATTTTAAATATTATTTTAATATAAACTTAAGCTCCCACTAAAATATACCATACCACAATTTTTTTTTTAAATTAAATATGGTTAGCAAAATAACCCAATAAAATTCATAACAACATATCTCATAGACATGCTTCGTATGTTATTAAGAAAACTTCATATTTTCTTCCATATTTTTCCTTTCGTAAAAAGGATAACCAATATAAATATTATTTAAGATAAATCTAAATAAATTAAATCCCCTTATATATAATTAAAAAATATGCTGGGCCAAAGTGGTAGACTCGCATGCTTCTGGATCCTAGATGTCAAAATTTCATACTTTATTATTTGACTTGGATAGATTTTAATTTAATTTCAATCCATAAATAATTCGGATTACCATAAATATGTTGATTTAATGATCATTTTAGATGTATTAATTGTATTTTAATATCATTCATTATTATAACTATTGAATTGTAATTATATTTTAAAAATTAATAACTTTTGTTATTATCGTTTGTTTGTTGGTTTTTTGACCTTATTTTCTTGTGTTTTATGTGTTTTATTTTGTGGTTCTTAGGTCCGTTTTTAGGCTCGACCGGTCCATTTTGTCGTGTTTTGTATATTCTTGCTCTTGTATAGCTTGTTCGTATTTTTGCGCGTTTTCTCTTTGTTTTTGGTGTGATTAGGTCCATTTCATCGCGCACGAGGAGACGAGCCGTCCGAGCCAACCGAACCGTCCAATCTGGAAATTCCGACCAAACTATACCCGGAATAAGAGCAATCAAAGACAAGAATTTTGGTCTAAGTTTCGGGCGAATCGGAGTTCGGTGCGAAAAGATAGAGCGGCATGAAGAATCAAGCACGAACAGAGCCCACGCCCGCACGCACGCACGCCTACGCACGTCGCGACCTCGCGGAAAAGCTGGCGGGCTCGAGAGTGCCAAGCTCCTCGCACGCCGCGTGCTCGCGGAAAATGAAGCGAGGTCGAGAGTGGCGCAGCTGCAACTCGCGAGCCGGCGGAAATGGCCGCGACCTCGAGAGCATCCACATCCGCGCGCCACATGCTGCCCATTACTCACCCGCGAGCTCGCGAAGGTCCGCGCGACGTCGAGAGTACGCTATCCCCTCGCCAAAAGCACGTTGCGCGCTCGCAGAAGTAGCCGCGACATCGAGAGTGCCCACCTGCTGCGCGTGCCGTTGTGCGGCCATGCATCTCATTACCTGCGACTTCGCGAATTTCGCAGCTTGGTCGAGAGTGTTCCATTTTAATGTGCGTATTTTAGTGTGTGTTCGTGGTGTAGCTATATAAAGACATCTTGCTTTGTATTTTGCAACAACCCTCATTTCCCAACTTTTAAGTTGGGAATTCCTCTCTATTTTCTTTTTTCCTTTTTATGCTTTGGTTTGGAGCTTATGAATCAAGTTTCCGGCGAACTTCCGGCGACATTGTTTTGAGCAAAGTTTCAAGCTTTTGATTTTGTTTCTTCTCCCGAGTGCATGTTGGAGTGGGTAACTTAGTCTTAAGCCCCATTACCTCGTATATCTTTCTTGCTTTGGTAAATTGATATTGTGCTTGAGATTTTGGAAGAAAAGATTGTTGCTTTGGATCATGAATGTTTGACTAAGTGTGATAGGAGTTGAATTCTTGCTCGATTCATGCTAGAGTTTGATTTGACTTCCTAGGGTTTTTAGCGAACATGGCAATGGTTGGATTTTTGCGTGCTTTTGATCATGATGACTCCGGTGAACCAAAATCTCTCTTTCCCCCTTGATCTCTCTAATCTTCTTGCGTGCTTTACTTGCTTTTGATTTCAATTTCGTAGATTAGCTTAGCTTAAATCAACCCTCAAATTGCAAGTAGAATGTTTAGGACCTTTTTGGTTGTGTGACTTTGACGACTAGGTAGTGAACGAAGCTCCGAAGAGCCTTCCCTTGAGAACGACCCGAGTCGGGTACCTCGGTTACCACATGCCTAAAAATACTACAAACAAAATGGCGCCGTTGCCGGGGAAGGCGAGTAGGACGCCAAGTTTGCTATCTAGTTGTCGTTTGTTTCCGTGTTTCTCTTGCTTTTTGTTGATTTTGCTCGTTTTTTTTTGCGTGTTTCTCTTGATTATTGC